AAAAAAACCAAACAAACAAACATACAAACAAAACAGGTAAACAGTATTTAAGCTGGCTTTTTGTGCAACAAAGTTTGCCAGAGAATTTACATTGAATATTGTTTYCAACCTGGTCCTGATATTTAGGTTGTTTGAGTCACTTTTCAACAAGAACAACAAAAAACTATATAAAATCGGTGGAAATAGCCTATCTGCTTGAGGACAAAAGCAAAACAAACAATCGTATAAGAAAGACGTGGATCCAGTGGTGTAAATGTGCAGAGTGGKACCTGTCAGAACTGATTTATCTAACAGCAGCAGCACAGTGTTTGCTGTTTGATGAGGTGGTAAAGTGAAAAAAAAGACGAGTGTTTGAGCACGGTCCAGGGTGAGCAGCTGCAGCCAGGCGATGCTTGGAGAAAGGGGAGGGGCTAATTAGCATTTTTATATAGCGGATGCGTGCATTTCTAATGAGACTCAGGTGCAACGTGACGTCTGAGTCACTTGCAGGCTTAAAGGGATTACTCTCAGACAATAAATCTCCCAAAGATGAACTGGAAATCTAGTTATACTGACGTTAAACGAGTGAGATGAACTGTCTGGCTTTGTTGCATAAATTTATGTGTGAGCACACACACCGTCACTGAAACCAAAAACGGTGGTGCAGGGGACTTGTAGTTATGGAGACTTTTATCAAAGAGGCCACAAACTCACTAAAAGTCCCAATAAACCCTCCCTGATGGCCCCCACTTAGTAATTATCACTAATTAAGCTTTAATTCAAGGAGCAGGAACCTATCATTACACACTGAGGAGAAACAAAGATGAATAAAGAGACACAATGAGGGAGAAAAAAGTAACTTCACAAAGAATTTCTTTAACGATGCCATAAATGGGCTCCCATAAAAGTGTCTGCGAACCCAGTTTTACCCTCAGAACTGGTTTAATTTGATCTGCAGTGAAGAACACATGCAAGGCAGCTTTGAAAACACGTTTTCGGTAGCACTGCAGTGTGAGTTCTGACTGCTGAATTTTATCAAAGAAGCTAAAAGCGAGTTAGTAAAGCTAAAAAAGGAGCTAAAAATTAAAATAGCAAGTGACTTAATAAAAGCATCAAAAGRCTAGCTAGAAATTAAAAGTTTAAAAACCCTTGCTAAAGGCTAAACGTAGCAAAAGGCCAGCTGAAAGATAGAAGCAACACAAGGTTAACTAACGTATTTAAAAGCTACTGAACATAAGGCAGCGCTATTTAACTGGTGGCCAACCTGCAAGTGGCTCCCGTCTGGCCTGCCTGTGAGCCCCCACTTTTTAATTTTTTTACTTAATTGATTGAATGATTGATGATGCCTTTATTGTCATTGTACAGAGCACAATAAAATTACATTTAAGAACACCCATTCAAGAAGACACACACATGACAAAACATGGAGGAACAGGTGATCAGGTCATGTGGCAACCAGCAGGGGTTGGGCTACCTTTAAAAAGAAAAAACGAAAATACCTCAGAAGGTTAGATGAGAAAAAAAAAACAACAACATCATCGTATTATATCAATGAAATATGATACACTGTGGTGTTTATAAAAAAAAACTCTACGAAGCAAGAGCACATTTATTAGCCAGAGGAATAAGTGAGTTTAGAGGGAATGAGTCTGAAGAACCCAGCCTCCCAAAAGAAAAACCCGTAGTTGAATTGTTCATTCTGTGCAGCTCCAGATTGACCTTCAGGGGATCAGATTAGACGGAGTGAGAGGGAGGAGAGGTGGGGGGAGGAGCCATAGTCGACGTAAACACCCCGGAGAAATTATATCCACAGCCTTCAAGGTCACATGTTGGAGGGGTAGACGAATCTGTAATCAGTTGTTTGGGAACAGGGAAAATGTTTTCGGTCAGGCAGACAATAATCATTTTCCATCTGCCCTAATGTCCGCTAGTAAATCTCAAGTTGGCGAATCCAATCAGACAAATAATGTGGACAATTCTGCCGAGCTGAGCTCTCAGCTTCTCCAAGATCAGTTCCATCTCACCAGCAAAGTCCAGGAACCAGTTGGCCCGCAACCCTCAGCAGAACCGCTTGCAGACCGAGTTCCAGCTTGCACAAGGCAAAAGTCTTAGTGCTGAGAGCACGGCAATCCTTCATATTGGTCAGGAAGCCAGGAAATGGCCTGAATAKCCACAGACGCTGTTTTGCAGAACACCAGGAGACCACCAAGCTAATCTGTAGAATCCAGTGATCAGAATCCAAATATATATCCAGAACAGAGCAGAACAGAGGTCCCACCTTTGACATGTCCTCCCATGGAAAAAAAAATGTGTTCCAAAAATTTTTTAAGAGGCCAGCTAACCAAATCCATAAATCTATAATTTTCAGTTTCGGATGAAAACGTAGAGGAGGCTCCAAGTAGCAAAGCAGGGAAGATAAGGGAAGGCAGGAGAGAGGGAAAAGCTTCTTACGAGAGCAGAACAAAAAACAAATAAATAAATTGAATATAAAACTATATTTTAATTAAACGGTACATTTTGAGTTTATGGTTAAATGCAACAAATAAGCAAATTACAAGGTAAACGATAAAAATCCTTGTCAGTTCCCTAAGCTGTTGGCTTTGATTAACTGTGGCTCCCTGAGCAATTTAGTTGAATAGCCCTGACATAAGGCTAAGCTTAATGTAGCAAAAGCTAAAAGTAGGAGAATGGTAGCTAAAAGTAGCAAAAAAAAAAACTAGCTAAAAGTTAAAAATAACAAACGGAACACTAACGGTAAAGCTAAAAGTGACAAAAAGCTATAAGTAGCAGAACAGTAGCTAAAACAGTATAAGAAAACAAAAATAGAGCAAGCATGCTGAAACAGTACTCAGAAATGTTTTGAAATACGGTAATCAAACAGATCTCATCGTAATGCTATGGAGATATTATTTAAAAACAATTGTAATTTTTTTCAAAAGTTTAGAAGTCACAAGGAATAGAAGTGAAAGCACACATGTGAATGAGCTGAATGTCTTGATATAAGAAAAGCAAAAATAGCACAAAGTATCCTGAAGCCTTTATAAAAAATGATGTTAAGAAAAATTTAAAAACAGGCAAACACAATAATCATTGGGAAAAAAATCACCAAGTCTTCCTCAAACTACWTCGAAGCATGTTAAATTACAGTAAAAGTTTACTTTAATCCAGCAGTGGCAGACCTTCAGAAGTATTTACAACATAAACACAACAGTATAAAATATTTTATTTTGACTTGAACATTACAGGATCTAAAGCAGGGGTTCTTAACCTTTTTGACCTCGGGGCCCAATTTGTTGAACATAAAGTGGCACGAGGCCCAGTCAGACATTACCACTGTATGGATCAAAATGATAATTATTATAAATCTTGGTTTAATTTGTATTGCATTTACATCATCATTTTACAACTAAACTAACATAACTAAATTAAATACACTTACAGTTTAAAAGTAAAACTCCTATCAAATAATCACAAGACATGATTATGACAAACATTTTATATTGTAACCTGCCCATAACAATTATTTGAACAAATACAACGGTCAACTCAGACTTATCAGCACATATATATAATATTTAACACAAAATATAACAAAATAGACAATTCAAAAAATAAAATTGTGGGCATAAAATAAATGAATTTAAAATGTTTAATGTAAATGTTTCAAATTAAAAATATGTAAAAATAAATGTGATAAAGTACAAATGAAAATATAGCCTTTTTAAACTTTTGCAACCAGAAGCTGCTCTTCATATTAATGACAAACAATAACAGTAACAACAGCTTTTTGACAACTTTAAATTTTCTTTAAAATACATTCAAAATGTTTAAAAATAAAGTAAAAATAATTTAAAGTGCAAATTAAAATATGGCTGTATCTGCAACTGTATTTGATGTTTTGAACTTTTAAAATATTGCATGATAAAAACAGAAGCTGCACTTCATATTAGTGACAAACTTTGGTGTTTTTTGATGAGTTAGTTTCATTTTTGCCTTCTATTTTTAATTTAAAATATGTTTCCATTCTCAGTATGTATCAAAGGTTCTTCTTCTATGTATTAAAAACATTGTTAAACATCTGAGTGATGCACTACCGCTACTAGTGGTGAGAAAGTGTATTGCATTCAAAATCAATGCGGTCCCACGGCCCTCTGMGGCTCAAAGTTAAAAACTGTTGTTCTCTTGAGGCCCTCAAGGTGGCGCTCGCGGTCGGCCCATAGCTTAAGAATCTCTGATCTAAAGTGTTTTTCAGTCTTCGGGTTCTGAACCAAGTGCAGATAAATAAGATCTGACCACACTCTGTGAGCAGAATTTGACTCTTCAAAATCTCTCCAGCAGCCAAACAAAGTTCTAACAAAAAGGATGGATCAGGTCTTTTTTTGCTSTTTTTTTCCCTCTCCATCTGTTTTAATGCGTCGTCCCCCTCCCGCCTCCTCAGATTCAGCYGTTTCAATTGTTTCCAGACCTGCAGAGCATCTGATATGAATAAGAGCTCAAGTATGACAGGAATGTAGAGAAAACTACTTCCAGGGTTCAAGTGTTTTGACACCATTTTGATGGATAATCTTATGTCAAAATAAACTTTTTTTTCCTCCCTTTTCTTAAACCAGGGATGACTTCAACATCAAGGTGCTTCAGGCTTTCGTGGAGCTGCACGAGTTTGCAGACCTGAACCTCGTCCAAGCGCTACGGTCAGAAAAAGTGACGCCGTGCAAAAGTAAAAATTTGGTCCACCTCAGCGCCGTGGTGCTTAACCCGACACCTCTCTGTTGCAGGCAGTTTCTGTGGAGCTTCAGACTTCCTGGTGAGGCCCAGAAGATTGATCGCATGATGGAGGCGTTTGCCTCGCGCTACTGCCAGTGCAACCCTGGAGTGTTCCAGTCGACAGGTCAGACCCACAGCTGAGACGCTCTAACTGACCTTTGGTGTAAGCTGTCAGACAAGCTCTGTCACCATCTGTCAGGCTTCCACCATGACAAAAACAAAGGTGGAGGAGTGGTATAGGTGCTCTTTGTTTGGGTTTTATTTTTTAGTTGAGCAAAAATGTGGAAGAATCTACAAATAACCCTGGCAGGGAGACAGAAGGACTGTGCTCGACAAATGTCTATTTATTGTCACTTGCTGGTGAAGGTGGTGGTAACGTTGCCTGTTTCTGTCTGTTCTGTTAGCAAAACATCTCATAAACCACTAGATAGGTTTTAAAGAAACACGGGTAAACATAAGGGCTTTTAGGTTATTCGAGACAACCTAGCTTCGTTTGAACAACCAGATCCCACCTCCTGAAGGTCGCYAAGATTTCTGTCATCAGTGAAAATGAAACGTGGAAAAAAACGTGTGTTTTGTTGCGAAAGCCGTTTAACCAATAATGATGCTGTGTTCAAACAGATGGTTCTTCCAACCAATAAAGTAAAAATAACCAATAAAGAGAACCACAGGGAACATTTTACCAGTGTTGTATACTCCTCTTTACTTCAAAAACTTTGTCCTGTTTGCAGAAAAAAGCTCCTAAATGTGTGGTATTGGGTGGCGAAGGGTCAATCCTGTCTGTTTGTTAGTAAAAAAAAATCATATGAACCAGAAGGCAGGTTTTAATGAAACTCTCATATTATTATCAACACGTGCATTAAAAACTGATCTATTTGTGGAGTCACCACATTTCAGGATGGCAGCCACAGCTAATTCACTTTAGGAAACACAAAAATCAGTCAGGTAGTATTACAGATATCAAGTTAATTGTTATGGTAGTCACTGAGAGTTATCCTCACCTACTCTGAGTATATAATATATAACACGTCTCACTGTATCTCACAATATCCGGAAAGATTTTGCATGACGCCATCTGCATGGTTGGATTAAAAGAGGTATAACTTTATTGCCAACTTAAGTTCTAAACTTGCATGAAGGACTACATGTGATATGCATTCCTTCAAATAGTTCAAGGATTTTAATGAAAAATTCAGTATTTGGGCATAACTGTACTCATAATTGTCCAGTCAGTCTTAAGGTTATATTGGTTAATTATTTATTTCAATTATCACATTTTTGAAGTCTAATTGGTGGCATCTAGTTACTCATTTAACCATTTAACCAGTTAAATTTAAATTCTGCAACCTGCTTGTTAATTACCCATTATAATTTATGCTAAATCACACATTTCAGTTACTGTAATTGCTGCAGTTCCAACTCAAATTCTGCTTTAACTACTTTAAATTTAAGCTGTAACTCTGGAAGCTAACTCTGTGGTGCAAGCAGGCCTCGTTTGAMATCACTGTGTTGATGGTGCAGCCCACAAATACTGACACAAACACAGCCTCTAATAGGATGTSAGTGATGTCCTTTTTAAAAACGCATTTCCACCTTTAAGCCCTGAGCGTTTCTGTAACTAAAGCTCAATATGGATTAACCAGATTACAACCCACCACAGATTCCAGTTTACTGAGGCATCAAAGTAAAACAAGACACAACAAAGAGGGGTCATCCATAATTCAGGCAGAGTGAACCTGGCTGAGTGATACATGTTTTTGTGATAAACAAAGCCTGCAGCTACATCTGTCTGTGAATAATTAAAGGGATTTTAGAGACTGACCTTTTGTGTTTAGTGCTGGTGCAGGTGGATGTGGTCCCATAGAGGCGGCATGCTTTTGTAGTGAGCTTTGTGTTAATCGATCACCTGCTGAACAAATGGGTCTGCTAAAACACAGGTGTCAAGGTACAGAGTGATAACGTCCAACCCCCTATTCTGGAAAAGTAAAATACAGAATGCAATGCTGTGCAAATCTCTTAATTCCATATTTTATTCACATGTGAACAAATCAAAAATTTTAAACTAAGTGTGCCTTTTTAAAAACACAGAACAAAAAAATCCCCAATTGGTAGCTTGGCAGTAGGGCCGTCTTCCCAGGGCCAAATTTTATTTAAAATGGTCTGAATCAAAGTCAAAACTGTCAGCAAGAAGTCCAAAGCCTGCCTCTCTGATGGTATATGGGTGCATTAGTGCTTCTGGCATGACACATCTAAAATGGCACCATCAATACAGAAACTATCTACAAGTTTTAGAACATGAGCTCCACATAGCAAGACTATAGATACGAAACCACGACCTGTATCCATTACAACAGCATGACTTCATTAAAGAGTCTGAACTGGCCTGCCTGCAGTCTAGACCGCACTTCAGTTAAAGACATTTAATGCATCACGAATGAAAAATCTGCCAAAGAAGACCCAGGATTTTTGAGCTGCTTGAATCCTACGTCAGACAAGAATGGATCAACATTCCCTTCCAAAACCTCCAGCAGCTGGTTTCCTCGGTTCAGAGATGTTTACAGAACATTGTTAAAAGAATAAGGGATGCTTCACAGTGGTAAAAATGGCCTGTACCACCTTTATTTTAGATTTTCCCATAACAATTAAAATTGCCTTATTTTTTTTCCCTAAAATTTGTACAATTTCTTAGTTTATCGATGTTTCTTGACCAAGCTGTTTGTAGTTTAATGAATTAAATGTGCATATTTCTGCAGYGGGCCCATCTGCATATAGACATGGCATACATATTCATGAGTGTGTGTGTTGGTGTAAGTGTGTGTGTAGGGCAACGCACCAACAAGGGGTTTTGTCCGTGACAGTAATCATGCAGTGAGCTCACAAAGGCACAGCAGGATTGTAGCTCTTTAATTACCACAAACATGAGTAAAAACCAGCTTGTCTCACCCTGCTTAGAAGTTTGTCTTTATCCAGCATCATTTTCTCCACAGTGCTGCTCTGTGTTGTATGTTTTATGGGGAAAGAGGCAGAGAATAGGTAGCTGAGAACCGATGTGTCAGTGTGAGCAGACAGAGGAGAATGAATGATTCGTTTACAAGCAGCCACTGGTCCATGTGAATCCAGGAGCATTAACACACAGCAGGGAGATCATAATCCTGTCTGACACACACACACACACACACACACACACACACACACACACACACAC